TGACATATACCTCAAACAAGCTACTGTTCTCCATACAAGGGGACCAACTTGAGCCAAACAAATTTTGAAAAAACGACAGAAATCAAGTATGATTGGGTCAATAGAAGGAATAAATCCCAAAGTAAAGGGATAGGTGTAAACGAAAGAAAAGCCAACCCTATAAGAAGATATTCTTTGATGTGGGGTAGGGATAACTATGTGGGTGTCATCTCTCCAACGGCAGTCTCTTCGAACAATTTGAGTCAAAGGCTCTGTAATTAAAGAGGGATATTTATCAGCTCTCTCTAATTTAATCAGTTGGTCACGAAGGGATTCTTTGTCGTGTTCGAAAGATAAATCTGATGGCACAATTTCTTCAACCAGAGGCTCTTGGTTAGACTCAGAAGGTTCTTTACCCTTAGAAGATGATCTGTTAGAAAGAGAGCCTCTAGAGATATTGCCAGAACTAGAAGAAAGAGCGATGGAACCAGAGGTGCCACCACGAACCGACCCTGTACCCCGAAGTGTACCTCCTCTACCTCTTCTGTGTCTAGCAGGAGCATTGGGGAAGCTATCAAGAATTGGGACTCTTTTAGGGTTAGGGTTTGAAGACGACATAGTGAGAAGATAAGAACAAAAGGAATGAATTGAAGAAGAAGTGAATGAGAGTAAATAGCAAGAAATTTGGTAAAAAGCTTGTGAAGAAGAAGACAAAGGAAAAAGGGGGTAAGTTTATATATAAACTTAATCGTCGATAATTAAGAAGTGTAATGATGAAAAGCCTATAATAAAGGCAACTATCACTTCGTGAACAGTGGAGTTAAAAAAAGCCTTAGAAAAAGGCTGCAAAATCGCAGAACTAATGAGAGGGTGACACGTATATGGTGCATTAAATAGAAGGGACAATTGAAGCGTCGATACTGTCATAGCATTGATTATGGTAAAAATTCCCTTTTTTATGAAGATCCACTTCCCAAATATTTAATTGGTAAATAAATGGAAAGTGGGGGGACTATCTGTATTGGGAAAAAACTGAATTCATATTGAAGGTGACGTGGCATGACACGTGGATCAGTCAAATAGTCAAAGCAGGATGGTCAGTTAAGAGGCACGGGCGATATCAGATACGAGGAGAAGAAAGTTAAATAGGCACGAGAAGCTATTCAAAAGATACGAGTCTCGTATCTATTTAACTTAATTAAAGTCAGGAGGTCAGAAGGAATTGAAGATATGAATCTGAGGGCATAAAGGAGTCTAAATTCAGTATTAAATGACAAATACGTTAGAGAATCAACATTGATTCTGAATGATTGTGTAACGTTTCATTTAATGTCATTTAATGCTCATAATTGCCTCTTTAAGGCTAAGGTGTTATATCTTTTCCTAGGAAAGACAACTATAAAAGGAGGAGGTCTCATCATTTGTAAGGACACGAAATATCATTGTGATTACATTGGAATACAAACTTATTTACTGCATTTATTATCCACAAAAAATTTCTTATTCTTTTCGTCTCCTGATTATCAGTAACCCGATTTTTTCTCTTAAATTCTAGTTTTAACCGAAATTCTATTTTTTGGTTAAACAAAACTCGAGATTAATTTTATTCAGTATTTGGTTATCGCATTAAATGTGAGATAATTATCAAGATTAATCATACATTTTATTTTCACTAGCCTTTTTTTCTGCGATGCATAAATGACCCCAAAAGTCTTAGATAATTAATTTCCTAGTGGAAATTTGGAAGTTATATAACATTTTTTTAGGTTACAATAAATGCTATTACTTGTCTATTATGGGATGTGCCAACCAACCAACTAATGTTACCAAGGAAGACATCTTCAGAAGAAATAGGAAAAAAACACTAGGTAGGTTTTAGCCCACCAACATCATTAATTCACTCTGTTTCTCTATCTGCTGCTTATTATTTTGTTGAGTACTACTATAGATAGGAGTTGACATTACTTGACAAAACCACCACGTTTACATAGTACAAATACTATACTGGATTTTTGTCCACTTCATTCAAGTAAAATCACACGTCATCATACCACAGAGTGAAATAGAACGACAAAACCTTCCATCACTTGATCGAAACGGTTAAAAATACCATTTTATTACACGCGACATTTTAAATTATCTCCTATTTGTATTGACCCTAACAATGTCCGATCTTAATGTATAACAAAGAATAATTTTAGATTGTACTTTAAAATTAAAAAATTGAATTTAAATATTTTTTCTGAATATTTTGATACTGAAAACCATCCGGTCTATCTTGAAACATCATAAAGATTAGAATAACTATGAGACAATTTGCTAAAGATGTGAATATGAATGATCGATCTAAGAATTTAATGGAAGATAAAATTGAGATATTTTCCTTTATTCAAATAAAAATATAAAAAGTTTTAGGTATAAGTATATCTTTGACTTATCATTTTCTCTCTCACTTTTCTTAATTATACTTTTATCTCTATTCCATTCCACACATAATGCGAATTTTTACTAGATCCACATTACTAAATTTTACTCCCTTCGGTCCAAAATAAGTGATTTTTTGGATGTTTTCACACAGATTAAGAAATCCACCTTTTAGCATTAATTAGTAATGGAATTGACCATATTAACCTTTACTATCTCACATAAACACTCCTAACACATATCCCAACACTATTTACTCCAACGACAATGTAGGAAAAAAATAATTAATTCATTCTTGAAATCTGAAAAAATTACTTATTTTGGACCACAAGAAAAAGACCAAAAAATCAATTATTTTGAACCGGAGGGAGTACCAAAAAAAAGATAAAGAAACAGTCATAAGTCAAAGGTCAATGAGTTTATTGAGAAAGACAACAAATTTGTTGCCATATTCCTCGTTGTTCCCAATAATAAAACGTTAAGCTAGCCTGAGATAAATCATTTCCGAGGGCCGGGTGTTTTTAAATAATTGTCAATCTTACTAGAAGAATGTGAAGGTAGATAATTTTACACTTAAGTATAACTTAGTTCTAATAATTTACTTTACACACTTTACATTTAGCTTACTCTTCCATCGTTAATGTACAAATTTAGCTAAATTGACTTAATTAGAAATTCTTTATACGATTAAACCTTTCTATAACAGCCTTGTTTGTTCCGAATATTTTTGGATGTTATAGCGAAGTGTTGTTATATAGAACATATATTATAACATAACATGAAAATAGATTTTGGAAAAGTTTTGCTTTTATAATAAAGTATTGTTATATAAGGATGTTGTTATAAAAAGTTCTGACTATATTGATAAATGATAATGCATAAATTCTCAAGTTTTATCCAAAGTAGATACGTGTATATGGAGTAATTTGGATATAAACTCACCGCTCAAGGAATGTGAATATATTTAAGAGACTCCTGCAATTAATGAACTTTCCCATTATACACGAATCCTAAAGTAGCAGTTTTTTAGCTAGCGTTTGGCCATAAATTTCTAAATTTATTTTGAAAAATTTGATTTGGATGAAGTTTGTTTTGAAGATTAAAATGTGTTTCGACATCAATTTTCTAAACATATTTCTCAAATTTATTTTGAAAAGACATGAACATGAGTTATACGCACAAGTTCTAAAAACTATCACAAATACCCAACAGTACCATTATCAATAACATTCATTGTATTATCGCAAACCGTAATCCCGAACATAAATAAATTTGATGCAAAATTTATCAATTTTTTAATGAACTACATGATACACTATCAGATGACCGAGAAGACGAAACAACATTGTTACAAATTAATAAATGGTGGGCTCTTTTATAAAATACAAAAGTTTGAGTAATTTTAAAAAATTATAATAGTGATATTTTGGTCCAAAACCAGCTATTGAGCTGCTTTTGAGATTTGGGATTTGGGATTTTGCCAAAATGTAAGCAAAATCTATGGCCAAACATGTGTTTGTTAAACAAAACTCAAATTTATTTTGGCAAAATCTATGGCCAAACGGGTCATTACTTTCGTTTCTCAACAGTCAAAGTTCGCGAATAACGTCATCTAGACTTCTCCGATAATTAATTACAATAACAAGGAAAACATCTAAGTATTTAATATTACTCCCTCCAGTCCAAAATAACTGATTTTTTGGATGTTTTCACACAGATTAAGAAATCCATCTTTTTGCATTAATTAGCAATGAAATTGACCATATTAACCTTTACTATCTCACATAAACACTCCTAACACATACTCCAACACTATTTACTCCAAGGATAATGTAGGAAAAAAATAATTAATTCATTCTTGAAATCTGAAAAAATCACTTATTTTGGACCATAAAAAAAAAAACCAAAAAATCACTTATTTTGGTCCGGAGGGAGTATCGGATTAGCGCCTAAATAGAAATAGGTAATAAAAGAAAAATAAAGTATATTTAATATTCTTTTCCTCAATAGAAGTAGTTTAGGGTAAAGAGAGTAAAAAAATTAAAAGCGAGTCAAAGGAGGAGATTCAGAAAATAGCGGCAGCAGTAGTTCAACAGAAAAGAACTGTTCCTCCTACTTTACGTACCATTCTTTGCTTTATCTTTTACCTTTGACAAATAATTTTTTTATAAAAAATTTCGAATCTATTTATCTATAAGTCAATATTAACACCAATATATTTAATTAACTTCACCTTAGTAGTAGTAGTACAATTTGTTACATATATACTACACAAATTAAAGTAAACTATTCTAGCTCTTTTTCCAATCACATAAAATCTAGTATGGTAGTTTTGTACCACTTATGCTGTATTTACATATTTGTCAAAGACTTTTTTTTGGTAATTAAATTTTTTTATTTACCAACATGTAAATTCTATTTAATATTTCATCTTTTTTCCGATTGTATAGAGAAAGTAGAAGATGAAAAGTTGTAAAATTTAAATAAAAGTCTAAGCACGCTGTTTACTTTTTCCCCTTTTTCTATCAAAAACAAAAGATTGTGTAAGTGCTTAATTTTGATTTTTATGTTTATAAAACGACACGTAAAGATTAAAGAAAGGAAGAAAAAGCAAAGCAGAATATAAAAAGTGGCGCTGGAAGCTTTCAGAAAATTGGTTGAGTGAGAGAGAGAAAAAGAGAAGAGAGAGAAAAAGCCAAGCCATTAGCCATGTGTATATTTACACAGTAGTATGATATATATGCATTTACATAGATTATAGTGAAATCTTTCTTTTTCATTCCCCCATTATTATTAATTCACAGCTGAGCGCAGATTTTTCTTGAAATTTATGATGTTTTGCAATTAAAGCGTTTTTTTTTTTTGAGGTTTCCTTTAATTCCTTGGATTCCAGAAAATCAATGCAAAAGCTCAGTTACTTGCTGATTTTGCTTCCCTTGTATTAGGGTTCAGGTAACCTTAGTTTCTTTTTCTTCGACTTATTATGTGTTTGTATGTTTCAAATGATTCTTGTAATTATTTGGTCTTAATCTTGATGTGGGTTGTGAGATCTGAGCTGAATTTACTAGCTTTTAACATTTGGTTAAGTTTCGATGTGATCATCAATTTTCTGTGCTGTATGTTAGTAAGCTTGAGGATTTATAATCTCAAATTACTTCTCGTTTCCCAATTTTTGTACCTAAAATGATTTTTGATGGATGAAAACTTAGCATTTCAGTGAATGTACTGATCAGTCTGAGAAATGTCCATGTAACTCAATACAGTTTGGGTTTTGTGATGCAGCAAACCCGGGCTAGTTAGCAATTGAGGCTTAGTTGATTGATTGATTGACAATGTGGGCGTGGGAGGTGTAGTAGTGTTTGAATAATGCGCGTGTCGCTCATTATGGAATTTCAGATCTGTGAAGTCAATTTAATTTATAGGGAGAGAATTAAAAGGAAATGAATTTTCATTTTCTCATTTTAGCGGTGCTTGTGCTGTTCTTGTCATCAATTAATATTCTTCTTATCTTCCAGACATTAGTTAATGTGTCATTTTTCTTTTCTTGTTGCTCTGTGTTAAGTTGAGATTTTGATTGCTTATCGAAGAAAGAGAAACTGAGATTTTGTATTGATTCACTCTTCTTGTTCCGTATGAAGTAGTGCAACTTGAGCTCGGATGGGTTTTGCTGCAGAACAGCTTAGATTGCCTTGAACATTAAGGGCCAAGCTTCTTTCATCAGTTTTAAGTCGTCCTTGTCGCACGGAAGGATGTCAGGTTTGTGCTTTCCATTTGATAAGTAATTGTCTGCAAGAACTGCTATGGATGATCTAGTTCGTACGCTTTCTTTATACTCACGTATGAATGTTCTGGATGATGTCTTGTATTCTAGAATGGTTGGATGCTTATGATGACATAAGAGAAAGAAGATCAGACTTTGAGGTTTCAGAGGATGAAAGACGGCGTTCCAGAATTGGTGCTTTCAAGAAAAAGGCATTAAATGCTTCAAACAAGTTCACTCACTCTCTGAAGAAAAGAGGAAAAAGGAAAGTTGACTACAGGTTCCCTTCAGTTTCGATAGCAGATGTACGTGATGCAAAAGAGGAGAATGCTGTCTGTGAATTGCGTCAAAGGCTCCTTGAACGGAATTTGTTGCCACCCAGACATGATGACTACCATATGATGTTGAGGTGTGTTTCTGTTTCTGCTGAAAAATTGTTCGACTAAATTTTCATGTATATGAACACCTATCTAACAATGGCAGTTTTCGTTCGAAATGCGGACAAAGAAGCAGTATTATCGGGTGAAGCTGGATCTTATACATCTTTTAAGTATCCATGCTAATTTTCTTCTGAGACTTTGCTTACAGTTGCTTAGCTGTTTGTTTCTGCACCTGCATATTGTGTCATTATATCTTGCAGCCAGATGTTTAACCTAATTTTGTTAACACTAATTCTGTGTAGATTTTTGAAGGCAAGAGATCTTAATGTTGAGAAGACTATTCCGATGTGGGAAGAAATGCTTAACTGGAGGAAAGAGTATGGGGCAGACATAATATTGCAGGTATTAATACCTTTACCTCAGCACTAATTTCAGTATTGTTCATACTGATTGATAGATTCTTATTGGAACTTGTGACCGTGCAGGATTTTTACTTTGAAGAGTTGGAAGAAGTATTGCAGTTTTACCCACAAGGATATCATGGAGTTGACAGGGAGGGCAGGCCTGTTTATATCGAAAGGCTCGGACAAGCTCATCCCAACAAACTTATGCGGATCACCACGATTGATCGCTACTTGAAATATCATGTTCAAGAATTTGAAAGGGCACTACATGAGAAGTTCCCTGCATGTTCCATTGCCGCAAAGAAAAGGATCTGCACAACAACTACAATTTTGGATGTGCAAGGCTTAGTACGTTTGTTTTATTGGTGGTTAATTTACCAAACTGATGTTGTTTCTAACTTGTATGATGCCCTATTTTACACAGTGTGAACCATTTTGAACACTTACAGATTTAATCACATTAATTAGACATCCATTTTTCCTGTTACAAGGGCATATTAAACATGCATGAAAAATTCGAGTGGTAATACAAATAGCTAGCACTCCCATGGGCGGTTTTACAAATTGGGTCTGGATCAATTACTTTCATCAATTTCCCCAACTTGATCGAAAGCAAAGAGTATCATATTTCTTTTCTCCAAATTGCTTTTAATTATGCCCTCACGCACCAGTAAAGATGTTCAAGTAGTTTCCCATCAATACAATTTTTTGTTCGCCATTTCCATGTTAACCTAACATGGCCACTTAAGGAAATCTTCTCTCTATCACGCCTCTTAAAATTTTGTAGTTCATCTTAATGATCATAAATACTAATATTAGTTATTATTCAATTTCAACCTTTAATATGGTGTGCTGTCAATGCAGGGGATTAAAAACTTCACAAGGACTGCTGCTAGTCTTTTGGCTGCCATGGCAAAAATTGATAATAGCTATTATCCTGAGGTATCAGCTGTTAACTGTGAACACTAGTAAATGAGATTGTCCAAGTATTTTATCCACACTCTGTTGTCGTGGCCTGCCTCTAATAATATCCAACATCTATGTGTAGACACTGCATCGAATGTTCATTGTCAATGCTGGCCCTGGCTTCAAAAAGATGCTCTGGCCAGCTGCTCAGAAATTTCTGGATGCAAAGACTATTGCCAAGATACAGGTAGTAGAGGAAAGCATTTCTTTTTTTGGGTGGGTGGGTGGGTGGGGGGCACTCTCTCTAACTACTATTGACTGAATCTCTATGTTCCAATCTTTACTTTTGCAGGTGCTGGAACCCAAATCTTTGGATAAACTACTTGAAGTTATTGACCAAAGGTTCATTATTTCTTTTGTTTTATATTTTGCCTTTGAAGAGTAAAATTATTCAATCATTTATCTGATTGTTTCTCTCTCTGTGTGTCTCTCTTAAAAGTCAATTGCCCGACTTCTTAGGTGGCTCTTGTACCTGTTCTTTCGAGGGTGGATGCCTCAGGTCTAACAAGGGTCCATGGAGTGATCCTGAAGTAATGAAGGTGTGCTATGCCAGTTCAGTTATATTCTTCTTTTTTATGACATGTTCTTCTCATTATACTTTAACTAGTCCTGGAGGGGAGAATTAATTTGTAATAACCTTTGTTATTTTCTCGTCTGCTTCTAGCTTGTATATAACGTAGAAGCAACAACAGTGAAGGAAATCTCTAGAAAAATTGGCGACCAAAGGAAAATTGAATCCTATATTCAGATACGCCCTTTAAAGGTAAATTTTCACTTTGACATGCTTCCTTTTTCTCATTTGTGCCTCTCCCTGGATGACAATTTATTTTGTGGTCAGGGGAGGAGTAGCGACACATCCACAAGTGATTCAGTATCAGATGCTGATGACTCGTGTTCACCAATTAGGGGAAGTAGTAGCTCAATTTTGAGGCTGGCCCCAGTTGATGAAGAAGTGAGTTTTCCAAAACATAATATAGTTTTTGTTTGTTTCATTTAGCTCCAGTAATGCTCCTGTACTAATACGTAGTTGCAGCACGTGCATGTGCAGTTGCACTTATTTGTATATCACTCCTTTTTCTGACTTGTAATAATTGGTGTCATAGGCTAGGTCATCAGATTCAACAGCTTATTGTAGCTGTGATGATGAATTCAGCCTAGGTGATCGAGGTGTTGCTGATGAGCATGGATTGCTACATTGGCAAGAACAATCTCCTGAGAGAAATCCAATGATTTGTTCCACTGATATACCTAATTCTGAAGGTATTTGTCTTTGTTAATCATCAATGCCATCAAAAGAACCTTTAAACAGTAGTTGCCTTGTATGTTGTACGATGTGACTTGGTATATGAAGACACCACGGAATTGTAAATTGCTATTGGTTGAATTCAGTTCTTGATTCATGATATGATCCTCAGGGTTTATTGTTCACCTAGGGCTAATTGCTTTTCAACATTCAAAATCAGATTTTCCTCAGATCTTACTTCTCCTCTAGTTTTATTGGTAACAGTTGCCTTCTTATATTCCCTTTTACTTTTTGTAGGTGATTTTCAGTCATGCTGTGAAATTTATGTTTTTCACCCCC